TCTTGGAGCCCTCTTGGGCCGTCTTGGGACCCTCTTGGGGGCCCCTTTTGCCAACTTGGGGCGGTGTTGGGGGGCCTCTTGGGCTGTCTCGGGTGTGGGGAGGCCGACAAGCTGGAAACGCCAAAATCTCTCCAAAGCCTCCTTCAAAAGAAGCAGCGAATTTTGCCTCTTCGGGTCCTCCTGGGGCCGCTTGGGGGCCTCTTTGGGGCCTCCTGGGGGCCTGTTGGGGGCGTTTTGGGGTCTCTTCCTCTTGGGGACTCCGGCCTTCTTAGGCGGCCGAGAGCTCGAAATGTTGATTCGTGATCCCCCCCTGGGACCTGTTTTGGGGCTTCCTTGGGCCGTCTTGGAAGCCTCTTGGGGTCTCTTGGGGCCCTCTTGGGGTCTCTTGGGCCCTCTTGGGGCGGTGTTGGGGGCCTCTTGGGCCGTCTTGGGGTGTCGGGAAGCCGAAAAGGTGGAAACGCCAAAATCTCGAGGAAAATCAATAATACTCGCCTCTTGAGGCCCTCTTGAGACTGCTCTGGGAGGCGTGTTGGGCCGTCTGGGGGGCATCTTGTGCGTCTTGGAGCGATCTTGTGGCATCTCGGAGGAGGGGCTCTTGGCGGTCTCTTGGCCTTTCGTAGGGCTCTCTGGACGGCCTCGAGGGCGGCGCCCAGGAGTAAGACCATCTCTGACCCGCAGCGCCCGGGACCTGCCCGGGGTATTTTTTTCCAGGGTATTTCTCTTCCGGGGACCCCCGGGGGCCGCCCCGCGCGCGCTGAGTAGACCTACTGTAAAGCAGTAACCGGAGATCTTGGCACGCCTCTGGCCCGTTGGGCCGGCGAATTTGTTGTAGAAGTTCTGCCGATCGGCGCGGGTCATCGGACCCCCCACCGTCCCCCCCCTCCATGGAGTAGATCTCGGCTGTTTTGGGCGCCTGTCTCGGGCAGGTGAATCTTCGGCGAGAGGGAGACATGCAGAGCCTGCTCGACTTTTTGGAGACCACCGGTGGCAGCGTTGGCCTCATTTCAGGATTGGCGCTTTGCTCCCGTCGTTCAGAAAGGCGCTCTGGCCCCAGCGCGCGTCACTTTTCTGAACCCCGGCCCTTCTTCCTCGTTGTCGCCCCCCTCCTTCCCCCTCCTCCCCCGCCTTCCTCTGGTCCCTCTGCTCCTCCCTTGCTTTCCATTCCAGTTCCCGCTGCTGCTGTTCGTCCTCTTCCTCCTCCTCCCTCCTTTTTCCTGTTCCTCCTGTTGCTTATCCTCCTGCTCATCCGCCACCTTCTTCTCCTCCTCTCCCCCCTCATCTGTACATAGCTTCCCTCTTTTCCGATTGCGCATAGCGCGATGTCAGATGGGGCGCGAACTCACCTAGCTTGATATGAATACTGTTATCCTCTCTCCCCCGAAGATGCCCAGGGAATCACCCGCCCCCTTCGCGCGCTGTCTTGGTCAACGGGATCTGATTAGTTTGTCGCTCCTATGGTTTAGCTCATCCATAACGTCCTCGGTGTGTCAGAATGGTGCTGACGCTGCAGCGTTGGCCTCATTTGAGGACCGGCGCTTTGCTGTCGTCGTTCCGAACGACGCTCTGGCCCTGGCGCGGGCCACTTTGCTGGACCCGAGTCCTTCCTCCTCGTTGTCGCCCCCCTCCTTTCCCGTTCTCCTCAGTCTTCTCCTGGTCCTCCTGCTCCTTCCGCTCTTTCAAATCCAGTTCCGGCTGCTGCTGTTTGTCCTCGTCCTCCCCCTCCCTCATCCTCCTTCTTTTCCTCCTTCTTTTCCTCCTGCTCGTCTTCCTGCTCATCTGCCTTCTCCTCCGCCTCCTCCTATACACGTAGCTTCCATCTTTTCCGATTGCGCATAACACGATGGATCTTTGCGGGTTGAGAGTTCCAGGTCCGCTATGGCGCGCGTCTGCGGGCAGAGAAGAATTCAGCCAGGACGGACCCCAACAAGATGTTAACCTGTGTTCATACTGTTCTGGAAATATTGACTGGGGTTCATAATGTCCCCCTAGAACATCATGAAATTGGGTTTAGTTATCTGGGAAATTGATCTGGGTTCAACTTTTTCCTTGCAGAGCATTGTATGATCATTGAAGCATTGAGATATTGGGAGCATCGACCCCACAACGATATTCATTTGGGTTCATGATGTTCTGACACGATTGACGGGGGTTCTTAATGTTCCCTCCCCCTGGAAAATTATGAACCTGTTTTTCATGTTCCAGGAATGGATTCTTCATGTTCTGGGAATATTGATTGGGGTTCATGAAGTTCCCCCCCCAGGAGCATTATTTACTTGGGTTGTCATGTTCCGGGAATGGGGTCATAATGTTCTGCGAATATTGATCGGGGCTCATAATGTTCCCCCGGAAGAGTCTGAACCCGGATTTAGAATGTCTCCGAACATGGACCCCGAGTTGATGGCTCTATAATGATTGAGCCCGGGGGTCGCCGGTTAAGACTCCGGCCCGGAATGAAATACACCTTGGTCCAGAATGTCGGAATAGTGATCCGAGCTCCATTTTCCAGAATGATAATGATTCGGCTGGGGGGGAGTGAGGCTGCTCCATCCACAGTGCACCAATCCACAGGGAGCTATCATCCAAAGGTAATGACCTTGGCGAATCATGCCTCCATAATGAAAAACGGACGACGAGGATTTCTCAGGCGTCCTCCATTCAGCGCAATAGGAAGGGATGGGCGGGATGAAGTAGGATGCAGGATATGGCGCGATCGCACCCAGCTTGCCCATTCCCGGTTCTCCCTCTCTCCTTCCCTGTCCACCCTCCACCCCCCACCCCTCTTCCTTCGCTCCCCCCCTCGCCTCCCCTTGCCCTCGCTCGCTCCTCTCCCTCTTCACTCTCTCCCTCTTCCCCGTGCGGCGCGGAGTGCGGCGCTGCCTCGCAAGCGCCCCGGCGCGGGGGGCTACAGACCCAGCTATGCAGACTGCCACGGCCCAGCAGCGCCGCGCCGCCCGCCACCTGGGCCTCCCTGGCTGCCAGCGACGGCGGCGACGATTGCGACGGTGGTGGCGATTCGTTGGCTTACACTCGGACCGATGTATAAGATCGCGGTCGGTTGGGGGAGTGTACCCTAGTGTTTTCGTGCGTCTTGGATGCTCTTGTGCATCTTGGGGGAGGGTACCCTCGAACGCTTTTCATTTTTGGCCGGCGGAGGGTCTCATGTTCTTGAAGGATGTCCTCCAGTCCCAGGGCCGACTGCACTCCCAGAGGAGGGCGAGCCGAGGTGACTGGACGTGGCCTTGGGGTGGGGTGGGGGGGCCGACGGCTGGAAGCAGCTCGGACATCTGGTGCGTTTGGACCCCCGGGGAGGGGCCCGGGGGCCGATTTTGCGCTGCCGTTGCCTCAACGCGCCCTGCTCCGATACTCCGGGGAGGCAGAGAAACCAAACCCCTGCCGCCGAGCACCCGTGGGAGGGGGGCCGACCCCGGGGCGGCGGCACGCCCGAGCCACACCGGGTGCTGGGCGACGCTCGCGTGCCGCCGCCCAGGGGTGGGTCTCCCCCGAGGGGTCCTCGGTGGCGATCGTCGTGTCTGTTGCCCGCTGGCCGACGCCGCGCCGCCGAGTCTCTGGGGGGTCCAGGCTGCCGCGCTCCTGGGGGTCGTTGCAGCGGGAGCCTCTCTCGGGTGCTGCGCGGCCACGCGCTCCAGAGGGGCCGTGGTGTTCTGTCTTCGGGGCTCAGGGTGCCCTCGCGGGGGACTATCGGGCCGTTTTGGCGCAGCTCTGGGTCTTCGGGGGATCAGCTCGTGTCCGTCTTGGCGCCGTCTTGGGCCCTCTGGGTGGTCTCTTCGGCTTCGTTCGGCCTGCAGTATCTGGATCCCGTCTTGAGCCGTTTTGGGGTCATCTCAATACTTTCTCTGCCCGTCTTGGGGCGTGATTCGATTGTCTGTGGGCCTCTTTCGCGCTCTTGTACTAGTTTGATCCCTTGACGGCTTTCGCGGGCAGATGATTGGTCAGGTACGGCCATCTTGGAACCGTCTTGGGACCTCCTGGGCGCACATGTGCAACTCGCAACATTGCGCACGCTGGGAACATTATCCTGGCTACAACAAGCTACAGGCTACAATCTGACTACCACGCTTCGTACAATGCGAGCTGTGTGTTGCATGCCGTGTGTTGCATACTATGCTTCAGGATCCACGCATAATGCAAACGAGTTCTAGTGCCGTCATAGCCATTTTGGCTCAGACCTTTGGATGAAGGAGAAACTTGTTCAAGGCAGTGTTCGTTGCAAGCACTTCTCCGCAATACAACAACTCGCACGCTCTTGCTAGCCTCTGGGCGCCAGATGGGCTCTCAACAAAACATGCCTACCACATGGACGCGTGCAGTGCGATTACAGAGTTTCTGGACATGCCCGCGCTCGCAAGGTTCGGCGGTTGCGCGCGCGGCGGCCGCTGGATGCCACCCGCGTCGCCGACGACAGTCGAGGGCGCGAGGTGGCAAGGTCACAGTTGCCAAGCGAGTTCCACAGCCCATCATTGCGACAGCCAGAGGGGAGGTCGAGCAGGAGAAGCATTCGGATCCCTAACCCGAGGAGGTCTCTAGTTTTCGGTCCTCCCCCTGTGACTCTCGGCGGGGCGGGGAATACATTCCGCACCTCCTCTTCCTCCTCCTCTTCCTCCTCGCCCCCCCTCCTCAACAATTGTCCACGATCGGTGGGACCAGTCCGTCAGTGAGGTCGAAGAAGAGATAATTCGTTCCCAAATCTTGGGGGTGTTTTCGGAAGACCTGTCGGGGTGAAGGGCTTGACGACTCTTCGCCGATCGACGTGTGGGGATCGAGCTGGATACATGGAGGGAAGTGCAGATGAACCCAGGTACATCTAGATCCTCGGT